AGGACAAGTAATCAAATTTCAGGTTTACAAATTGCATTTAGGGTATTTTTGCTGGTGTCAAATGTCAAAACAAAATTTTGCATGAACACAATATTTGGTAAATATTGCTCTAAATATCATGATGACAGCTTTGACTGCTCTTTTTGGAATCAATTCCAGCAATAAATGCAGTGTGAAATTACATATCATTAGTCAAACCTGTGTTTGACAAGTCAAAATATCTCCAGTGAAAGTAATTTTTGCTCTTCATAAAGGAAAAGTTTTGGAACCTAAGCTAATTTGGTTTTCAATAGTTAAATGAATACACTGACATAACTCTCATACTGCAGTATTTTAATGCATTTAAACCTGGCCTGCAAATTACATTACATCAGACTCTAAATTCATTTTTGTCCTCCTGATCATAGCTGTGGCCTTCACAGCATCAGTGCAAATACCAAAATAAGCAGATGGACACATCTTCATAGCATCTGCAGGCTATAAAGCTAGCTAACATGCAGTGCAATAGCCTTTATTCAGAACTTAAACCAGCATGCTTTTGCATATTTAAAAAAAAAAAAAAATCAATAATATGTTCGAAATTAAAACTCTGTATCCTCTTAAAGATTGGTAATTAGCTGTTTCACCTGTTTTTATGCTCGTTACTTGAAGTTGGCTTACTACGGCTTTATTTGCAAAAACATAAACAAAAGCACTTAGTGTAGTTACACACTGTTTATGACAATAAGTTGCCTGAAATGTTTGATTGACTGATATCTGCTATGCAAATCTGCAGGTGTGCAGATATGTATCTGTAGCGATTATAAGTGGTGTGTCAGCTGAACTGAACTGAACTCAAGTCAGGAAATAGAGCCAGAAGAATAGAGGCATGAGCACGTCTTTTCTCTATCCTGAATACAGTCAAACGATGGGTCTCTGCTCTCTGAAGAAAAGTAAAGTAATACTGCAACTGCGGTTATTAGTAGCAAATATCTGAGAGACTCTACGCTGTGTGGTAACACTTGCAGGAAAACAAATTTCTCCATACATGACCACAAACAATAGATTGAAAGTTTTAAAGATTAAATTAGAGAATGATAAAGGTGTTCTAGACGTGTTCCTCAGGCCAACTAAAAAAGCTCTGGCTGTAAGCAGCAGACATTTACCACAGTACTAGTTAGTGGGCTGGTGATGAAACTCTACTCCAAGCCTCGTGGGTGGTCAGCAAACCATGAATCGGGGAGAGTTGAGTGGTAAAAGCTAACATTGACCCCAAACAACCACATAATCTGCCAAACCATTCTTAACAATGCCTCTCTCATTCTCAAGTCTCAGATCTCTCTCAAGTGTTTCCAAGAAACCCAAGAGGCGCTGCACATTGTAGGCCTAATGATGGGCATGTGGGTAATTACAGCATTCTCAAATGTGGCAGCACAAGTGGTTATACTGCTCACACACCGACCTGGCACCTCCTCACTGTCTCAGTGTCTGCCACGTCTTTAGCCTTTGTTCGGGCTGGGTCCTGCCATAGATGTGTGCTGTTTGGACTACTAAGGTACACTGCTGTGCTCTTTTTTTGTGTACATCGGCCTTTTATCTTGTTCAGGAATGAAAATGAGCGTTCTGTAGGGATGCTTTTGATAAAAATCTGTTTCGTTTATTGGACTCAAGCCCAGTTTCTATTTTCTCTTTTGATGATTTTATCTCCATTCTCTAGGTAACTAACTTAAAATATATCCACTGTAAAACTTGTAACACTCAACACACTGTACATGACATTTGAAGCAGTACTAGAACTCAGTAACTTCCCCGAGGCCTGATAGTTAAAAAGTATGTGTATGTTCAGAAGGGAAGTTTAACTAGAGTGTGAAAAAAAAAAAAAACTGGTGCAAAAATTGCAATTTATGGAACTCTAGATATTCAAATCTTGAGGTTCAAGAAGAGGATTAAAAAAAAGAAATATTTACAAGGAAGTTAATAACACATTCATGTATGAGTTGTTATTCCTGGTGAAGTGATGGCAAAATACAACTCAGCCTCTTCACTATCTGTTTTGTATGTTTATTAAATCTGAGCATTTACGTATTCTTTTATTTATGTAAGTTTAGTGATTTTTTATTTTGATAAAAAAAGCCATTGAAGCTTTACTTGTTTTATCCAAATACTTCATTGAACTGTTGCCATTTATACACTAGTTGTAGACAGAGACAGGCCATGCCATGGCTGTAGTGCGATGTTGCCTTCAAATGCTGGTCGTAAGCCGAATAGAAACATTCTGCTAATTAAAAAAGTATATAAAGTTTAATGCGAATGTACTTTTTTCTGCCTGCCTTTTTTTTTTTTTTTTTTACAACAGTGGGATGACACTTCTTCCTTTTCATACAATACACAATATTGGGACAAGTATAACTACATTACATTAACTCAAAAAACCTCATCATGACCAAATTGTCCTGTTGTCCCTGAATGCAGCATTGATGTGGGAGAGTACGCATGAGGAGAAGGGGGGTGTGACGTCATGGCAAGGGTGCCCGGTCTCCAGTTTGGCGGAGGAGAAGTTTGTGTAGCTTCGACAAACTCTACACACCACAGGCGGGGGTAGCAAATAGAGCTAAGAAGAAACAGGACTGTTAATAACTTTTGGGGGGACTGTAATATCAACATGACATTATTTCCAATGTTATCTAAAGTGCCATTATAATTAATATTGTTGTTCTTGTTGTTTTTTTTTTTTTAAGTAGCGACCAGAGCGAAGTGGATTTATATCCTTGACGTTACAATTAACGGGTTTTATTACTGCGCTGTTGTTTCTCTCTGGTTGGGCGTTTGCTTCCCGTAATTAATGAATAGGGCCATATCGCTTTCAAGTGTCTCGTATCTGCCATCGGGCGGTCTCGCATGAACTGCGTAGAGGCAGCGAAGAGGGGGGTCGGAGGCTCCGTCAGCAGAGCCGGGCTTCAGGATGAAGATGCCTCGGGGAGGACGCCTGTTTCTGGCGACGTGCCTCGGCTCGCTGTTCGTTCTCGTGCTGTACTTTCAGAGCATCACTAAACCAGGTAAGCCCACACATATATATTCCACTCACTGGGAAAACAGTGCTACACTCACGCTATTGGGGTACTATTTAACGAACATTTTTTTTAATGTATTTAGATACGGCAAATAAAACTGTGTTCGATATATTGTGTGGTTATCACAAGGAAGGAGAAAGCAGAGGGTCCGCACTTTATTGACGTTAGCTAAGCTAGCTCTTCTTCTCATTCGCTGTCGTGGAAAATATACACTGGTGTAACGAGTGAAAGAAACTACAGATAATTAGGCACACACACTGGATTTAGGGTTTAGGGCAAGTGAATGACTAATTAATAGCGAGGAAAATACAAGTTATAAAGCTCTTCGTGCTTTTTGGTCTTGTGGTCTTGCTAGAGTCTGCATCCTTTGCAGTCAATTTTGCAAAACTGTGAAGTTTTAACGGTGGCATAATGAAGCGTGAATAAGCTCACATGGAAAAGGTGTAAGGGTTTGAAAGCCCTCTGCCTTTGGAGAGAGAACCCCCCCCCCCACACAAACACACACACAATTATACATACATACATACATACACACACATATTCCGCCACCGTGACTCTACTCTCCTTCTTTTATCTCTACTCTCCTCTGCCTTTGTTTGCTGGGCAGCACAGAGAAAAAGGACTGCAGACATCCAGGGTGAGGAGTAGGGGGGTGAAAGAGATGTCCAGATGATGGATTTGTGCCTTGCCATGCATACTGAAGTGAAGCAGCACATGCGCTTAGAGAAGAGGAAGAACAAATATTTAAATTGGTTTGTCAAGGAGAGAAAAAACAGCAGAGCACAGAAACCAGACAAATCAGCTGTAAGCGATATTTTTGTGCAAGAGGATTTTCCATCAGTCGGTGTGGGGATTTTTTGTTTTTTGTTTTTATTGAACAGTATCCAGGGTAACACTGCACGCATTAAGGAAATGGCAAAAGAAATAATCACATGCACCCCCTGAATATCAAAAAACACACACCTGAAACAAAAAACAAAAAAGCTTGAAATCACATTTTATGGCTTTCAGTAGCAGACACACAGACCACATGTTGCCAACTCCACAAGCAGCACACTAAAGCACTTTCATTGACCTCCCCCTTCCATCTACAGATTATATACCCTTACTGGTTGACCCATTGAGGCTTGGCTGCATTAGAACCCGCTAGTAGCAAATGAAAACCACATGAAAAACAGGTTGCAGCCACAATAAAGAAGACTAATTAACTGGATGTCAGCAGAACATCTACTGAGCGTGAATTTAAAAACCGAGATCCAAGCGTTGTTTAATTTACCTTTTTCTGAAATGAAATAGGGCACAATCTTTAGCATCTTTAGATACTTTTCAGCCTACTCCCTTTAGATATTCATAAGGTATTGCATTTTTCCATAGTTCAGATCTGTGGTTCTATCCAGAACTCGTTCCATAAGCCCTGGTGTCACGAAGGATTTTGTGATGAGTAACCTTAAAGAACTGTTTTTCCTGCAGATGCTTAAGTAGAGAAAAAAATGGATTTAAGACCTGAAAACGTGATGATTAACACAAATGTTGCAGACAGTTAATGGGATTTCCATTGTGGCTTTGGTACAGTTACACTGACCATAAAGTCGTGTGTTATGGTGTCCTGGATCATCCCCGTGATTTCTGACAGATCAGTTAATAGTTTTATCTTTGTGCTGGTTTCCATTTCAGTTCCTTGTCTGTGTATAGTTGTTTTTTTGTTTCAGTATGTGCTTGGTCTCCCTTTCAGTGTACAGCGTATGCCTGTTAAAAATGAAGGTTAGTTCCCTATAGGGATTTTCCACTGGTACCTTCTCGGCTTGACATAAAGCAGCTCAACTCAACATTTTCCATTACTATCAAGTACCACCTAATGTGTGTGTGTGTGTGTTGTTGTTATAGCAACATGGTCAAAATACCAGTGATGTCATTTGTATGTGACACGAATGCCAAAACAATGGAGGACGTCGAGGTGAAGGTACCTGCTGCTCATTGGTGGCTTTTTGTCA